TCAAAATTTTTGAAAAAAATTAAAAATCTTAAAAACTATTAAAAATAAAAAAAGAATCAAATTTTAGTATTTCCAGAATTTTATGTAGAATTTAAAAAGGCAATAATATTTATATGGTTCCATTTGAAAAACCAAAGTTGATGGAAAATAAATTTAAAAAATAGTTTACATTGCGTTATATGTAAGGCAATAATATAATTGAATCGGTGAGAATAGGAACAGTACAAGTCCAAAAATTTAATTTTTAAAATCAATTTAAAAGTTTAAAATACATTTTTGTGAAAAGATATAAATAATTTTACAGAATAAAAACATTATATTTTATAAAATAGATAAAATCCCAGGTAGCACAACGTGACAAAACCGTGACGATTTGTGTCCATTGTATCCAATCGGACACAAATCGTCACGGTTTCGTCACGTTGTGCTACCTGGGATATTCCCGCAAAAATGCATTTAGAACTATAAAACTGATTTTGTCAAAATTTTGACTTTTTAACTAAGTTGGGTAAATCACCCTGTATATTGTAGAATATAAATGGGAGGAAAACATTTTAAAAAATGGCAACGTTTTTGGATTTTTGCCACACAACTACAAGCTGACAATTTCGAACTCTAAACTTATCAATAAAAAAGAAGTTACCCGGATTCCATTTTTTTAGATTCTGACGTCAACAGCGACATCTTTTCGAAACACAGCCTCGCCGAGTACCTAGTGTGCACAAAAAAGGCCTCTTCGGAAAAAACGAACCCCATCGTGGGTTTCGCGCTGTACTACGAACCCACAGCGATCATAACCCTACTTTCCAACGCCAGTCTGGTGACCTTGGGAATTTTGACAGCCGTCTTACCTGTCAAAGACACCGGCAATGTCACGCAGAAGGTCGACAATGTCAACTCTCCTTTAAAAACGGTGCGTACCAAAATTTTTGACGATTATTTGGCAACACTGTAATTTAATTGCTTCTTAAACTTATGTCATTATTGTTAATAATTACACATTTTTAGATGTTAAAGGAGCCTTTCGACCATTATATACAGAATGTTCTGAAAAAAGTTTCCAATCAACCTATTTTGAAATTGTCATCATCTACAGGGCAAAGCCAGGAAGAGTGCTATGATGTAAGTTACTTTATAAATTTTTGATCGGGGATTTTTTTGTTTTTGGAGTTTTAACAGGTAAATTATTGAGAAAAATTTTAAATTAAATTTTGAAAATTAAAAAATCGACAATTGGTTTTTTAAATTGTCAGTCCCTACCTAGCCCTTTATTCACCTAAAAAAATCACAATATTGGAATTTTTTTAAAAATTTGGATAATTTTTAATTTTTTAGAAATTTTGAAAATTTTAAATATTTTTAAAATTTGTTCAACCATTTTTACATTTATACTACTGTGCGAATTTTAAATGTAGGTATAGTGGTATTAATATCTCATGGCGGGTGACCTTGAGAGACGCTGACAGACGCCATTCAATTTAATAAATAAATGGAAACTAAAAACATCCGCCACTTCCATAGACCTTTAAGTTAACTTAAATGTCTATGGGTGCTTCCCAAATCTGTCATCCGTCAACTAATATAGTAAAGCGTTTTTTTCTTTATTTTATGAAATATATTGTAACATTAGATAATGACTGCAATTGAAGACCCTGCTGCAAAAAGGAGCTAACTCCATAAAAGTTATTTTTGAGTCATATTTGCATTAAACAATGCAGAATAGTCACAGTTGTAAGGGTGTAAAAGTCACTTTTGTAAAAGTTACCCCCTTTTTGCAGCAAGGTCTTCAAATGTTGAGCAATGATCTGTAAAATATATAATGGATTTCAGTAAAAAAAAGAATAGAATCTGTATAGAATCCTAATTTTGCTGTAAAAATGTACCTAAAGGTTTTTATTTCATATTTTTCTTGTGTATGGCAAAATATGTTGATTTACTGCTAATACAAGTATATATCATATTATGAATAAGTTCTAAAACTTCTAAATGTGCTTTATTTCAGACAAATGGCTTACATTTTTTAAAAATATGCAACACTTTTCTTCTATAATTTTTTTTTATTCTTTCTTTCAAGAGAATTGCACGTTTCAACTCGCGTTTCAAATATTGGAGAACGTTGTAGACGATCTGCCGCCCTTGGATGTGAATAACTTCTTTTTTGCCGTTATTCATTTCGTATAACAAATATAATAATAGAATTTCTAGCCTATAAATATGTTTAAATATGTCAATAAATATCAGCTGATGCTAGTATTGCCAACCCTGGGGTAGTATGTTTTTAGGACGGCGAGTAATAGCGCGATTTGACGGATTTGTGACGTTTGCGCGCCCAAGGTCACCCGCCATGAGATATTAATACCACTATATTCTACTGTGCGGATTTGTCCTACCATTTTTAGATGTACCCACTGTGCAAATTTTATATTTATAAGATGGACATTCTAGTTATGTATATTTATATATATTACAAAATGTCTGTTTTTCTAGCTTCTGCAAAACTGCCAGTTTGACTTGGTATTTTTAGTATTTAAAAATGGTACTTCTGCTAAAGAATTTAATTAAATACCTTGACACTGTAAAATTGACAATAATATTTAGTATTGATAATTTACTTGTCAATTATAAATAAAAAGATAATTAGGTATGCCAAAAATAATTGCAATGAAGTCGAATGTAAAAGCCCTTTTGAGGGCAAAACTTCATCTTGATGAAATTATGCCAAATGCCACAATGGAAGAAAAAGTACATCACCTTATGGACATTTTTGGAGTAAAAAACTAACGAATTTGGTTTATTACATCACACATTATTCACCATTGGACAACATTTACGTTCACAAATTTAATTATATATAATTTATATAAATTCTTTTCAAACCGAAGATTATTATCCGCTAGGAATACTTTCTCTTCTGGACCGTAAAGCAACCTATATTTAACTACTTTTTTATATGATTTTACTCATCCAAGCACCACCAAAGCCAAATTAATAGCATTTTTAACTACGAATTTCGACAACTCAACTTGACAACTGCAACCTACAATAATTTATACATAACCACAATTAGATTTATAACTAGCTTAGTTTGTTTTAATCAATGCGACCAACTTGACAACTGTCATAATTTGTGTTTGTCCTATTGTGTAATAGTCCTTCGGAGGGGACTTTAAGCCCGCGGTCCGTTCCTACCCCTAACCCGCACAAGCCATTCAGTTGGCTTATGGGACTTCTTAAGAGTAAGGGTGGAACTAAAAGAGCACTTTTGTAAACTTTTAAAAAACTTGACAACTGTATTTACCAACCAAAACCCTAAATTTGCAACGTTGCCGCAGTCCAGATTTAAAAAAAAATGAACTTAAGTTTATGTTAACATTCTCAATACAGTTATATTTAGCTAATAGGGAATTTCCACTTATATATGTATATCTAACTGGGACAAAATTTTGTTTTCTGCAAACGGCAGCCCAAGTTTTTCGTGATGATTATTTTAAATATAACAGTGACAAACGTGAATCTTTAAACGAAAATGTCAATTTAGGCTAGCTATAAATGTCTTATAAGAATGTCAAGAGAGATAAAGAGAGATATATATAAAATGTCATTTTAAGGTTGATCAAACTGTCAAAAAATATTTACTTAAGCTGAGACAGTTACATGTAGTCTATGTTGACATTCTCAATACAGTTATATTAAGCTAAGATGGACATTCTAGTTATGTATATATTACTGTAACAAAATGTCTGTTTTTCTAGCTTCTGCAAAGGGTAGCCCAACTTTTTCGCAATGATTATTTTAAATATAACAGTGACAAACGCCAATCTTTATATCTTTACGAAAATGTCAATTTAAGCTAGCTATAAATGTCTTAAGAATGTCAAGTTAAGCTAAATATAACTGTTTTAAGAATGTCAATTTAAACTTAATAAAACTGACAAAAAAATATCAACTTAGCTGAGACAGTTACATGTAGTTTATGTTGACATTCTCAATACAGTTATACTAAGCTAAGATGGACATTCTAGTTATGTATGTTTTTCTAGCTTCTGCAAAGGGCAGCCCAAGTTTTTCGCGATGATTATTTTAAATATTACACCAAAGCCAGAGAGGAGTTGGAAAAACGCGTCCAAGCACTAAAAATGTTGAAAACACAGCAGATCAACATGCTGGAGAATATGAATTCGGAAAAACAGATTTTGCAGGAAAAGGCGGAAAATTTGGCGGAAAAATACGAAGATATCAAGGATAAGCAGGAGGAATTGTCCAAGAAGTGAGTTTAAGAAAATATTAAGTTATAAATTACGTTTTTTATATATTTTTTTTAGGTGTGAACAGTTGTTAATTTTGGTGGCAAGAAGAAGAGAAGTTCCTTCAGATGCAGAAAAGGAATTTTTAAAGGATGTCAATGATGCAAATGAAAAATTATCGTCCTACTACAGAGTTATTGATAAAGTTAAAGACAAGTTAAAATATCAATCTGTACAGGTAATATTTAAATAATAATTTTAAAATTAATTGAAGCAAAAGTTTCCTTAGTACAAAGCAGCCATATTCATTTGTTTTATTTTTAAGATTACCAATTGGAAAAATCAAGAAACTAAAAAAATTCTATCAATTAGTAGCATGCAAGAAACTACTATCAAAAATAATCTACAGGATATGTAAGTTTTTATTTATTTTGACGTAAACCTTGTAAATAATATTATGTTTTTTATTATTTTAGGACCAAAAAAATTAATGAGATGGTCAAAAGTATCAATGAATATAAGAGGCATTTAAATTTGAAATAAACATACTATGTTTGTTTACTATTTTGGTAACAATGTTTTGGAATGTTATTTTTTAATAAAGGTTTTTCCCTAAAGATTCTAAAAGTATTTTTTTTTAATTAAATATACCGCGCTTTTCCATTAACTAACCACACTATAGTCTGAGGCAACAAAAATCAATACATTAAAATGTTAAAAAAGTAACAATTTAAATGTTTTTAAGCTTTTTATTTTGTTTATTTGTCATTTATAAAATCTTCATCCATTTTATGGAACTTCTCGTGCATATCTTCGGGAACTTCCACGTCTTTAAGGTTTTCTTTGTCTATTTCTTCTTCAGTTCTATAAAAATATATTGTTTTAAAAATATACAGTTCATTATATCTAATGTTTTTACCTTATAAGAATATCGACAAGATTTTCACAAGCCAGTAAGGCTTTTCTGCATTTTTCCCATTTGTGAAGTTCTCTTAATATTATGTAAGTGTTTTTATTTCGTACAAATTCACGATTTTGTTTTTTGACACATAATTGTGTTAGCGCTTCCAAAAGTATACATCTAAACATGAAAAATAATTATATCTTAACTCATTGTCACTTTTTTCATTTTATTTTATTTGATAAATAGCTGAGAAAATTAAAGTGCACTCTTCAATATTTAAATTAATTATTAATATTTGTATAATGGGTTGCATATCAATTTTTCCCAGATAAATACAAATAGTTAGCAACATTGCTCTAAATCCAAAAGTTCTTGTCAAAAATTGCATTTTTAAATTTAATTTTTTCAAAAATTACTGATGATATTTTTGATACTTATAAATATAGTAGTGTTAAAAAAGTCAATATTGTTTTTTTATGTAAGTTATGAATCGTTTTTTTATACTGAAATAAAAATTTTAATTTATAAGAGGTTTATTATCGAGTTTAAAAATTTCCCACAGAAATAACACAGGAAAATGTTTTTTTTTTTGATTTTTTTCCTGCATACTTTTTTATATAAATTACAATTGAACCTTAGTAGTACAAAATGATACTTTATTAAAATTAGAATCTAAAAACTAAACTATTGATGATAGGTCAAAAAGTTAAATTAAAATTTTGTAGTAGTTTTAATTTCCTACAAAATTGTTAAAAACAAATTTATTGGATCTATAATAGTAAAAAAATTATATACTGATTTTTTTTTTGTTTAAATTAAGCGTTTTTTACATATACTATATATATTTATAATAGGTCAAAAAGTTAAATTGCAATTTGTAGTACTTTTAATTTCCTACAAAATTTCTGAAAACAAATTTATTTGATTATTATTAAAAAAAACACAAATTTGAACAAAAATCCTAAAAATGATTCAATTAATTTGTTAAGGACAACTTTGTAGGAATGTACTACACTTATGCAAAAAATTGTATAAAAAGACTTAAGTAGAACTTATTTACTTTTAATATTATTATTAATTTTTTTACTTTTTACTTTTAATATTATTATTAATTTTGACAATTTTGTAGAGAATTAAAAGTACCACAAAATTATAATTTATAATTTTTTGATCTATCATTCATTCATCATAGTTTGGTTTCTAGATCTAAAAAAAGTAGGTAATTAAAAGTATTACAAAATTGCAATTTACGTTTATGACCTCTCATCAATGAACTTCAAATAATTAATAAGCTGTTATGTTTTATGTTATTTTTAAGTTTATTTTTTAATAAATAAAAATTGTGAATGCCTACAAGTTATTTAAAGTTTTGGTGTAGCTTTTATTGTAAACCTTTTTAATTTTTTACTTTTATTGTTATTCCACTGAAATATTAGAACTAGAAACTTGCTAAATCACCCTGTATAATATATGTAAAAAATACCTTATATCAGGATCAGACTCCCTAACTTTATCCTCAGGTAAATATTGCAAATCAAGTGGTAACTTATCGTTATCTTCATCATCAACCTCTTCATTACCAGCCAAGGGTAACAATAACCTGGAAAGAATGTCCACTTCATCACTCAACAACCATTCATGGTATTCCTCTTCAAAACAGCAATTTTTTAAAGTACCTACAACAAAATTTGTCAAAATATAATTATTTTTCAAAGAATGCCAATTTGTTACCTACTATGCCTCCTCTTCGAACCACAGACTCCTTATACTCAGTAAAAGGCAGTAATCTTTGTATTACACATTTCTCTCTATCCAAGAAAACCTTCCTTACTCTACTACTTTGCGATAAGTTCGACAGTACAGGCCCTAAATAATCCAACTTAGCGCCATTTTTATTGTAATCATTCTTCGTAAAAATGTTAACAATATCATCAAAATTCTTCCCTGTATTTAATATAAGATCTATAACCTTTTCTGCCAAGTGCAATGGTCGTGTTAAATTCGACAAAATCATACAAGATTGATCAGCAATAAAGCTCTCACTATCAAATATATATTTTAGTGTACACTTCACAATATCGTCCGGGGGCGACTGCATCGGCGGACAATTCCCCTTAACATCCAAATCAATCAACTTTGTAGCACCTTTTTCATTTGCAGATATATTCACCAAACATAACGCCGAATCTTTCGAAATCGGCAAACTTCTATCCCCCAAAAGCGAAATTAAACACACCAATATCTGAGGAATATCCAAAATCACCTTCAAACCATCATCTGTACCGGTTAAACCTAAAAATGCAACAAATTTGACGTTGTCAACATGATTCTAACCTCACTTTTCACTTACCAAGTATGTTTTCCAAAGCCAGCGCTTTTAAATCAAGTCGAGCGCCTATGTGCAGAAATTTTACGATTTCTTTAACTTCAGACATTTTATTGTTGTGAATGTTAATAAAAAATAATAAAGAAATGCTAAGATTTGTTAAAAACGCATGCTTTTCGATAACATGTGCGCGTAGAGCCAATCACCGATTATAAGTTTTAAAGTCTCGTTCATACGTACACAAATGTTTCCAACGAAGGACTTTGTGTAAAATTCTTGTTTCATATTCTTTGCCAGTTGTATTAAAAAACGTGTAATAAGGGTTCCAAGGCCATTTCTAAAGTGTGCAGACAAAGCCGTTTGTTTTGAGTTTAAAAATGTAAACTATAATGGATATTAGGTGGGTGGACTCCTTTAGGCATCTTGGGAAATCTTTATAGGTACCTGTTTTATACCTGCTTTTATGACAGTGCCACTTGTTTGTGCTACTATTTTAATGTATTAAACATAATACATACATATATGATTTTTGTAATTTTAAACTAATAATTAAATATTTTTCTTTTTTGTTGTTAAAATAGCAGTTCTACCACAGCATAAAGATAAAAGGTCCTTATGCTGTAGTTCACCTTGCCATTTTTATTGGTATTTACTTTTATTTTTTAGTAAGGGGTAGTTTTTATGGTAGAAATAAAAAATAATTTATTCCTGTGTATCTGCCTTTAGCAATCAAAATTCATTCGCCGATATTCGTTACAGTTTCCTGTAATTATGTTTGTTTTCTTGTGCGCGTGCGTGCGAGTGAACCTTCCCGTCGGATGCGCTTGTTGATAGTTACGGCCCGAAATAATGCTGAAAATTACGCTAATTACGTTAATTTAACCAACGCCAGTCGAAAAAAGAAAAACCGCAAGTGATAGGTTAAGAAGTGAAGTGTCAAATAGACGTTTTACGTGAAAATGCGTGGAAATACGTATACGTGACGTTTAGTGTGTCAACAATGGCCGCTGTGAAAAATCTGACTGTCTTCAGTGAAATTTGTGGTTGTGAGTGAAAATGCGAAAATTCTGTTAATTGGAGTGAATATTACGCGTTTTTTGTGTGAAAAATACATCATAAACTATGGCTGAAGGAAATAATCAACGGTGTCCGAAGTATGTTGCACAAGATTTCGCGTTGAAATGGGTAAATTTCAATGTTTTCTTTTACAGAATCATGGTTTTTCGCCCCACGTGGGAGGAATTCAAAGATTTTTCCAACTATGTTAAGCACATGGAGTCCAAGGGGGCACACAAAGCAGGTTTAGCCAAGGTAAGGCAAATTAATACAATTTTAATCTTTAAGCTTTATTTACCAGCTATTACCAATGCTATGATTTTTAAGCAAGTTTTATACTCTATTGATTTTTAATTTGGTTTATTATCAGTTTTGGGGTTTTAATTAATTTAGTATTAAGTATTTTACCAACGCCAAAACTTGAAAATAAAATCTGTGTTTGTTGTGTACCTACATTTTAAGCAAGTTTTATACTCTATTGATTTTTAATTTGGTTTATTATCAGTTTTGGGGTTTTAATTAATTTAGTATTATTTTACCAACGCCAAAACTTGAAAATAAAATCTGTGTTTGTTGTGTACCTACATTTTAAGCATTAAATTTGTTTGTTTCTAATTTTTTTCATATTTGGAATTAAATATTAATATCTAATCAAGTTAAATAAATGGTAAAATTTATAATTTGCATAGGTAGTTATGTAGGTATATGCAATTAAGATAAAAGTAACTTCATAATAATTGGAATATTTTAATTAATTGATTAATAATAATTGTACATTTTAAGGTTAATACATACATATATAATAATAATAATAATAAAATATTCTGGGAAAGAAATGCATAATATTTATATATTTATTTAATTTAATTTGTGATATAAATCAAATGGCTTTAAAAAAATAATTAGTTAATTAATTCAACTTTTACTTATAATTTAATTGCATAGAAAAACGGATACCTAGGTATATAGGTAACTAACTTTTGTAACAAAAAGCATCCAGCTTTAATTACAATTGAATACTATTTTGGAAAATTTGAGTAAAATAAACTCTACAAGAATAATTGAAATGGCTATGATTGGCTTACCAAAAAGTGCTATCTTGTTAAATTTTGAAAATTTAAAAATTAGTCAAGATAATTCCAGGAATTCATAGTTAAAATGTTTTACGGTAGGTATTTGATTTATTTTGACCAGTATAAATTAGAATTATTGCACTGGTTAAGTATTGTAAAAAAAATAGTTCTCATACAACATACTTTTGTTTAAATACTCCAAAAGTAATACTTTATTTGAAAAGAAATACTTTTGAAAATACAAATGTGTTTCTATAATTATTTATTTATTATTATTTCACTGGGAATTCAACTTTTAGTTAAAACTTTTAACTTAGTTTCTAACAACTGATAATTTGGCTTTATAATGATAAAGATAAAGATAAATCTAAAAATAAATAGATGTTAGTAAATTGAACAGGAAACAATATGTTTTTTTAAGAACATTTAAGTACCTACCTATATTTTCAACGGAAATCTAGATTTATATTGATTTTTAAATATTTTCAAAATAATTCAAAAAAATTATTACTCACTCAGATTGGTCTGAAATTGAGTCTGAAATAATTTTTTTCTAAAAAATACCTTTTTGTTTTTTGCGATTTTAAACAAAAGTAGGAAGTAGGGTCTACCGTAATTAAATTAAATACCATCGCAATAGTTACTATTGCAAACATGTTTTTTATGCTTGTAATTAAGCTTAAGCTTATAAGCAAAATAATTTCAGTAGTTTTTTCTCAAATTTTTTTATTATTACGCACACTACAAAAATTGCCGAGTAACGTGGAATGGCTGAAATATTATTAATAAAACTATTTTTTGAGAAATCAAATCCCTTTTTTAACACCCAATTTTGAAGAGAAACGATTTTTTTTAAGTTTAAATTTGTTAAGATGTGATGATTTAAAGTTACAATTTTTTTATACAAACTGTCAGAATCCATCTGTCAACCATCGCAGCATATGCTTGTTTATATTGTTGCTTAGAAAATTGCTCGGAAAATACACAGCGTTGCCGATATTTTTTAATTTGCATGCGTAATAATGGTGGAATTATGCAGCACAAATTAACATTAAGATTAAGATTAATTTAACCAATAGGAGGGTATAATGGGCTTATTGTTAATGTTAATGTGTTGCATAAATGCTTCCATTGTATTACATTCATCTTAACTTTTTAATGGTTACCTATCTTAATGTTAATGTTAACTTAATGTTAATTTGTGCTGCATAATTCCACCATAAGTTATTACTAATAACTGAAAAACTACTTGTCAGAAAAAATTGTTATTTTCGTATTTTCCCCTACATAGCCATTTTCGGGACACCCTGTACCAAATTTTTATAAATTTTGTTCCAAATTATAAAATTATTATATTAAATCATTTTTTATATTCCCACCTTTAAAACGCCCATTATCGTACATGTTTTCATAATACTATGTTTTTTTAAATACACATTGACAAGCTATGGCTTTATGACGCTTTAGAAAAAATTCTTGTATTTTATTAAAACAAAAATACAAAAGTATTTAATAGTAACTAGAAACTGTTTCTCAACGCCAATATTTAAAAAGTTTATATTTTTGCTGACATGTTAATTTCGCGAGCATCATGGTCTTATATAAGACTGGCCGGCAGTAAACTATATTTACCTGATATAGCATTATACACTCCACCATGGAGTATACATAAAACATTATCTTCACTTTCACAATGAAAAACTGCTTCTTTATCGGAATTAAACGGTTGGTTGTCCATTTTCAAGGGATAAAATTCTATTTACACCATGTGCCAGTATATTTACCTTCCACAAAACATTACTTGACGTTCGAGGTAGATAAAGTACGGTATGCAATTCGTTTTATAAACTTCTCAAGATCACTTGTTTATTAAAAACTCGCTTCGCAAGCTCTGCTCGTGCAAAATTTAACTCGTGTTCTAAATAACGTTTTTAAAGCTAGTTGCATAATATACCAATTATCTACGACGAACACACAAAAATGTAAACCAATTTCATTTGTCAAAGGTCTGACAACTGTCAGACGAGTTAAAACTCACTTTTTGCCAATTTATAATTAAACCAACTTTAACCCGTTACTTCGCCCGTGACTAAAACGCTATAAAGTCAATGTATAGAGATAATATTCACGAGGATGCGGTTTATGCCTCGAGTCGTTGGGCGAGTGACGTAAATTATCCGATTAAATAATGCGCATTATCATTATCATTAAGTGATTTTTGTTACATTTATTCGAGCATTTATTACAAGCTTACTTTTTTCTGATCATTAAGCCTCATTCAGAACCTCGTAATTAATGGAAAAAATTAGTGGTTTCAATTATACTTATAATTAACACAAAACGATCATACAATGCGCAAAATTAACATCTAAAATTAAGGGAGTTTACTAATAGATTGTGCATTCTTCTTAACCTGACATGAACAATATTAATTATATTAATAATATTGTTTACAACGAGGTTTACAACCATTACAATAATATTTATATAACCTTACCTTCACTGGCAAATCTTCAAACTTTTTGCTTTGGACATAAAATATCCGCGCACATGCGCAAGGCCGCTTTCCAATTATAGTTAGTAGTAAAAGTTTGGAGTTGCAAACTTTTTCCACTTATTAAAAAGTACTACCACTAATTTGTTGGTTGTGAACAACACTGGGTATATTCATAAAACAAACTTTTACGTTAATTGAAACCACTAATTTATTGTACTAATTACGAGGTTCTGAATGAGGCTTTAAGTATAGTCGCCCCCTGTTTATATAAAAAATCTGACTTCTCTTAGACAGTTCCAACCTGATTTTTTCTCAATTTAAAACCCATCACAGTGAATATTGAAATCGGCCAATCACTGATGCCTAGCAACGTAAATACTTTATTTATTTATAATGGTTTTTATTTTTTATAATGGTTACCACGGGATATAATAATTACCACGGGTTACCATTATAAACTCAAAAACTCATATAATGTCAATAATATGCAATACGATGCAATAGGAATAAAATTGGGGGCTTGAGTTGGCTTTAAGTTAAAATTGGGAAAAATTGAGGTTAAAACCGTTTGGCATCTGTCAGAATGAGAAAAAGTGAGGTTATAATCGCTTGAAAGTTGTCAGATTTCAGATAAAATTCTAAAAAAAACATCACTTTTTGTTCCTTGTAGATAAAATTACATACCTATGCAATTCGATTTATAAAATTCTCATGATACTCGTTTTTAATACTGATTTTCAGATTTGAAAAAAACATGAAAAAACCGTGTTTTTTTTTAAATCCGCCACAATTAAAATTAAAGCATATTTTTTCAATATAAAATTTTTAGCAAAATTTATAAAGTAAAATTTAGAATATATACGAGGGTGGTTCAAATATAAACCGGAATTTTTGAATAAACGGGCGAAAAATTTAGTGTCGTAAAAGTGGCTGCACTGGATGTTAGACTGGTATGTTACGAAGCGTAGAGAACAGCCGGGACTCCGTAACCTCGCTTTTCAGTGTAGTTATAGCCATGAGCGAGAAGGATGTACCAGTGTCTGTTGCGCAACGCATCATTATTCGTATTTTGGTCAAAGATAATGTAAAATCCGCGGAAATTTTATCAAAAATTACTTGAGCAGTTCGGGGATGAGTGCCTCTCCAAGACTCAAGTGTACGAATGGTGTTCCGCTTTCCGAAAAGGCCGAGAAGTGGTGGCACTTGCCATATGCGCGGCGCCCCAAAACAAGTGTTACAGATGAGAACGTCAGCGCTGTAGAAAAACTCATTTTGGAAGACCGACGCAGTACTGTACGCGATATGGTTGAAGAATTGGGCATCAGCGTAGGTAGTATTAAGCAAATAATTCATAAACGGCTCGGTTACTGCAAAATTTCAGCCAGATGGGTGCCAAGACTTCTGAATTTTGAGCAGAAATTCACACGCTGGGAAGTTTGATGAAAACATTGAACGAATTGGATTGGGAAACACTGGAACACCCTTCTTATAGTCCCGATTTGTCGCCATGCGACTAGTATTTGTTCGGTCCATTGAAAGAGGCACTTGGCGGACTGCGATTCGAAAGCAATGCGGAGGTAGAATCCTTCGTGCGCGAATGGTTACGTGACAAGCCGAGAGATTTTTACGAACAAGGCATACGAAAGCTTCCGAAGAGGTGGCAAAAGTATGTAGAGTGTGACGGA